TGTGTGTGTGTGTGTGTGTGTGTGTGTGTGTGTGTGTGTGTGTGTGCGCGCGCGCGCGCATGAGACAGAGAGAGAAAGACAACTAGAGGGCATTGTAGGGGGAGGTTAGGACAGAAAAATACTGAACTTAAATAAAAAAATAGAAATGTTCTGTTTTAACTGACAGGAAAAAGCTTTTGTCCAAAAATGTTGAAATACATTTCTAGAAAGTAGGTATTTACTTGGAAACTGAAAGCATAAACTATGTTCATAGCTCCCTCTGATGACCATTGGATACTACACAACCAGAGTCTCCTTTTATTTTTGTTCATGCATTCAACTGACAGCTGACTGGTTAAATTCTAATTGCTTCCAAGTGAGGTCAGCAAAGGTATTTATCGAAAAGGACTGAACAACAGGCTCAACACACACATGCACGCGCATGCATAAGCACATACACACACCCCATCTCTCTTGCATGTTGATTTATGGAAACAATTATAATTCTAGTGGAACCTTTCTGAGCTGAGTAAGTTTGTAGCTACAGTAAAGAGACTCATGCTACAAAAAGCAGAGAACAGAAATGGAATACTTGTGTATCCAGATGTTATCAGCAGGAACAAGTAAGTTATCAGTCCTTTAAAAGGAAAGCTATCATTTCTAACAGCTATTAGCTTTTTCTGTCTTCTTGATTTATACATGTTAGAAGTAATTTTCTTGAAGTTAAAAATCTCTTAGTAACTGAACTATATATGTATAAAAATATCCAGTCTGTCCTGATGCTTAAACTAGTGAAATGTGGGCACTTCTCTAGAAATAATGGAGCTAACAAGAAGGTATAGACATTAATGAATCATAAGTATCAGAGGTACAATAGCATTTTAACATGTCTGAGTTTAACAGCTCAGTTGAATCAACAGATTTTTTGAAAGAGTTCTTACTGACCTGCAGACAATTTAGGTATAGGCAGGTAAAATGTATGCAGATGTAAAAAAACTTCTTATAAAAGTTATATAGTATGCATGCTTGTGTAATTTGTTAAAGAAATTTGATTAATAGTGTCATGCTCTGTTAAGCTAAATGGCTTGCTGCTACACTTATCTGGCATTTTATAGTCTCACACATATTTAACAATTGACAACACAACATTTATACATACTGCTTTTCTCACAGATCTTTTACTTTCAGTGGAAGCAGCAAATTCAAGTAGTACAGAAAGTCACAACAACCAAGGTTTTTATTACCTGCTTCTTTAAAGGATATCGCGACTGAAAAGATACTTAAGGAGTTACCCTGTTTCAACATCAGTAACTTTTAAGGAATAAGGATCAAAATTCTTGAAGAGGGAGATATCTTATTTAAATCAATCTACAACTTCCAGTAAAGACAGAAGGCAGGTCAATGAACTAAAAGCAACAAACTACTTGAGATTTAATTTTCATTATGTTTTTCATGAACACCCAGAACACTGCACTATAATGCACAAATGGATACTGACATGGATCCTGCCAATTTTGCTCTACAGATTATACTTTTACATTATCTTTCTAATGGGCACTATATCTTTAGCTTGCAATGACATGACTCCAGAGCAAATGGCTACAAATGTGAACTGTTCCAGCCCTGAGAGACATACCAGAAGCTATGATTATATGGAAGGGGGGGATGTGAGAGTGAGAAGACTTTTTTGTCGAACACAATGGTATATGAGGATTGATGAAAGAGGCAGAATTAAGGGGACACGAGAAGCAAACAACAACTACAGTAAGTAATACATCCACTTCTGCAATTTAAATTGAAACTTTCCAAAATGTAAGCATGACCTGCTCTTATCCCTTTGCTTACAATATTTTCACAAGAATATCATATATTGTAGTGACCATTCTATTAGACAAGTTTTCCAATTAATCATACAGCAGGACATTTGGTACTGATTTTGAAATGCGTCACTTTAAATAATATGTTGTAGATCTGCTAATGTATTGGTTACAGCTGGTAACTATTAGCAAACAGAGAACCTATTTTAACATGTGAATTAAGGTTGTAAGTATGAAAAAGTATAACCACAAACTTTGCTCATAAAGTACTTATGAAATATTAGACCACATTTATGTAGTACAAACTGCCTAGAAGTTTGGTGTGTTTGAGTTAACAATTAAAACATACGCAATACTAGAACGTTCAGTGGAAAGAATTATGTAAACTGCCTTGCAAAACCATTCACATAATTTGCCAAGTCAGGAACAAAATCTGTTATAGCTTCCGCAGCTCGCTGTTACTATGATGATGATGACGATGATGATAAAGACATATTCTCTTTCACTTCCAAAGAGATTACTCACCCAGAGAGGGTGGAAATGTACCATTTTGCAAAACTGTATCAAGTAGAACTTTAGCATTGGCCAAAGATATTAATCTCGACGCAGGTATAAAAAGTCACATTACTTTTGCTAATTTGACTTTGTCACTGTAATGGTACTGTAAATTTATTCAAACATAATATCTACTTTTCAGAAAAACAAACTCCTGTACAATTTCTGTACGATACAATGAAAAATGGTATTTTCCAGTATAAAACAAAACACAAAGGAACAAATAAGCAAAAAATTATTACTATTTCAGAGGTCAGAGATAGGTTGTCAAAAGAAAGAACAAATATCTGTCCTGTGATGCCCTTAAATGTTGATACAAAATTTGCAACATAAATCATACTGATTTTATGTAACAGCTGCAAAAATCAAAGTGAAAGGAATGGTAATAAGATTAGTCATTTTCATTTGATTTTTTTTCTGCATAATAAATTCTTGCCATTCTTTTCAAGTGCTATGCTATTGTGCCAGGAATAGCACGTTTTACTGTTTTACCTCATGATTATAAAGTTTGGCATCTTATGCAGCTGGAGTTTTCTTGATACATTTTACTCATTCTTTTAAAAACCATCTATATCAGTCTCCTTTCTTTCTACAATTAATTATATAATGCACAACCATATTGCTTTAAATGACAAATCAGTTTAATGGCCGAGAGACAAATATAAAGATTTTTATTTCATCCTCATTCAGGCAGACTGCCACTGATTTTCAATGGGATATTAAAACAGTAAAGACCACATGACTGTAGTCTAAAATCCAGTTCCTTCTCCACTGATATTAATGACAAAACTCTAGGCTTCAATGGGGCCAGCATTCACCCTAAAACGTTTAAATGTTTTTTCCCCTCTGTTTTTTAAAGGCGTGTGTTTATTAATGTTGCAGTCTTGTATCTTTGTTTGATCTATTACTTGCTTGTATACAAAACCTCCAGAAGAGTTTGTATAATTAAACCCTATGGGATGCTCTGGATTTGCTTTTTATGATTTCATGCTGTTTAACCAATAAGTTGGCTTGCAATTTAGTATTTCAGATTCAAGTAAAGGACCTTAATCTGTGATTCTTATTGTTGTAGCATATTACTTTCTGTAGATTTACTCTCTCATGATTTAATGACTAATATCAATTAGATCTTCAGGTAAATGTAGCATATTTATCTCTGAAAATTTTCCCTGAAATGCAAATATCTTAATATTTGATGAAGGGTTACATTTTTCTGAAAAATATGAAGGAAAAAATGTAGTTAAACCATTAAAACCACCAAAGCATGCTGCTGACTGGTTAACATTTATATTTTTACATTCAGCTTAAACTCAGATTTATTTTTCTTCTGATACCTGTTACATTTCAAAAAGAAAAGTGTAGCTTCAATGTTTTATCCACATCAGGTGTACTATAAGGAAATCTCTGCCACATTTATTGCAGAAATAAATAAGTTAGTAGTCTCTCAGTATATTAAAATGGTTCACTTGCTAATTTATCTCTTATATACTAGGATATAATTATTTGAGTACTTTTGTTGGATAAGCAGAATAGAAAGATATGGGAAACATTCCTTGAACAACGATGGTGGCTGTATTTTCTGGGAACCCCACAAATTAAATTAGAATGAGCTCATCATTTATTTAAAACAGGTGTGTACAGTTTGGGGTTGGGTTTTTTTGGCATACCCTCAATTTAAATTCAAATGAAAGACCAGTTCTAAATGTATGTTTGTTGCGCTATAGTATACACATTTCTAAGCTATGTTCAGATGACACCAAAAAAAAAAAAGATTGAACTAATGTACTTTTCCCAAAACAAATGGACCAAGGAGAACCCAATTCCTACTTTTATCCTAAACTCTTTAAAAATGTAAATTAGAATAATATTTATTACCAAACTGGATAAATCTTCAAGCATAAATTCACACCTCTCCGTCCTGTGACTTACTACTTTATAATGCTTGAGGCTAGAAGTGGTAAACCAAAGCATCCTCTCATGAGATCACTCCAACTGAGTCACAGATAAATGAACCACTTTACCTTCTGTGTCTGTCACTGTTTCAGCTGCTGCTTTGAAAAATGTCTTCATATCCAGTGCTGCCAGCCTCACTCCATAATGTCAAAACAATGCAAAAGTAATTAGGGAAGTCTCTACAACTACTTTTTCCCATAAGAAATGGAGGTGATGATATAGAAACTGCAGTATCCTATACTCTGAATGTAATTCATAATTTTAGGTGGATCCTGTCAAGGTGACAGATTTAAAAGAGGAATCATCACTCCTTCCCTTGGTGGTTCACTGACTGAATCATGAAATATTCAAATGTAAGCAGGGAAATTTCACATTGCTAATATTTTAAGTGAATTTAATATTGGATAAAGATGCCAGATGGACACTCTTACAGGCAGAAATTGCTAATTCATCCACAGACCATGTATTGCTTAACATGGACAATGAGCAAAGCAAGTTTCCTCACAATCTGGGGATCTCTAGAGAATGACACAACACCATGAAGCTAAACTGGAAACTTGAGAAGAGCCGCAGTGCACATTTCTTCTCGTGTTAGTCAAGGTTAAGGATGTAAAATACAAACTGTAAGGAGCAATAAAAGAACAGGGTCAGATCTAATTTTTCCTCTTCTTTGTATTTTAAACTTCTCTGCCAAGTCACAGAATAGGCCCACAATAATGTCACACTAAAAAAACAGCAGAAACAAAATAAACAGAACACTTTAATTATGTTTCAATGCACAATTAATCTTATCAATTGCATGTTGCTTGGAGTTACATGACTAAATACTGAATCAAGTTTTTAAAATAATAATCAGTATTCATTTCTCATTATTCAAAGTTCACTTTTTAAAAAAAAAGTGTAAACAGTTGTAGCTCTTAGTCCAAGAAATGGCAAGGTACCAGAATTTAACTTACTCTTCATTTCTTCTATACAAGAGAAACAAATTCCTGAACCTTGCCCTATGCCAGTTAATACGTACATAGGTACCAGAAGAATGTTTGATGTACACAAAACCAACAGCTTTAAAGAAATCTTTAAAAATGAAAAGGTATTGCCAGACTGTGGAACCTGGGTTTTGTTTTTTGGAACAGCACCTTTGTATTAAGCATCTTGGTACCTGGTTTCCAAGATCCCTTTTTGGAAATAAAGCTGAAAATTTGAATCAACTTTGTACATCAGAGGATAGTATGCTCTTCTACTAGCCAAAGAAAATCACTCTATACATGACAGGCATAACTCTACTCATCAGCCTCAAAACTGAAATACAGAGTGAGGGTCAAAAACCTCCCACTAAGGCTAAATACAGATAGTCAAAAACCTGGAGGTTGAATTGATTCAATCTTTACAGGTTAGTCTAAGCTGCACAGATTGAAACAACAAGCAAGTGAACAGACATTCACTTTTGATTCCAGAAATACAGGCACATGACTGTAGTGGCCCAGGCCAGAAGCCAGGGGGAACTAGAGCATGCCTCATTGTTTGGCTGGAGCAGACAGCTTGGGCCAAAGCTAGCTCACCCACCCTGCAAGGGAGGGTTTGTGGGGGGAGTGCAAAGCATCCTGGGATGCTGGGGGACTGTGAATTAACTTGAATCTGGAGGAGATCTGGGACAGAGATTCAATAAACCAATTTAACTTAAATCAGTTAAGCCTGATACTATATCCATCCAGGTTTCTCTTAAACTGGTTTCAGCCATTTTGAAAGAGGTTTATGTGCACTGTATTTCTGTTGTGTTACAGATTTTAACCGATTTCTGATCACTTATACCACTTTATGTGTAATTTCTGCCCCTAGCCTAAGAGACTAAAGGCAGTATAGAGATTCACTTTACAGACAAATTAAATTAGAGATGCATAAGGTTTTGTGATTCTAAGGGTCACTTCATCAGATGCTGTAAAAGGACATCCACAGAGTAGTGTGAGATTATAGTAAGAATTAAGTAAAAGATGTGAAATAGGAAGTTCAATAGTATAGTTTTGTATAGTTCAGAATCTATTTTGTTTTTGGCACCCATTTACTGGATCTTGCCTAAGTATAAGCTGCTTACATTTCCAAAGCAAAACCACCAATAGTTCAGCTTCATTTAAAAGTGCCCTTATTGATAAAACAATGAAGTATTCCTCTCTCAGCAGGCAGTAATCAGGGATGGACCTTTTAGTGATACATCTCCACATTTTTTGCAAATTTGGTCTTCCTTTCTTAATGCTTGAGCTTCCTTCAGTTCAACTCTAAATACAAGAGTCTTGCAGATTTATTAGATTTTGTACAGAAAAGAGTAGAAGCCAAAAAACAGAGCTTATGTTGATTCAACATAAGAGGATTTACAACAAGGATTGGACTTTCCATGCTCTGTTGCCCCTGGAATCTCATTTTAAAGACATCAAAGGGATTTTGATT